GGTTTTCAAGCAACATTTGAATCCATCTCCAGTCATGCACGATCCATCGTAGACAGCAGCACAGTTATGAACACAGAGGTTGTAGCAGGTTTGGTTGGAGGCGAGGGCATAGCTGTTCCATGGAGCACAGTTGTCATAAGATGCTGCTCCTTGGACAGAAGAACAGTACTGTTGGCAGATGACCAAGGTGACAGAGGCAGCAGTGGAGAAGAGGCAGAAGGCGAGAAGGATGCGGAACATCTGTAAATTGGCTTGGAATTGTAATGAACTATGAATCTACAGCTTACCATTTTGAATGCGGTCAGATGAAACTGATGCTGATGAACTCTATTGGTTCTTCTTAAATAGCTACCAATTGAGTAGGAGTAGGAGTGAGCCAATATTCTGTTCTGAAGAGTACTAGGTATCAAGAGATTAAAACAGCTACATATGAAACATTTCAGTAGGAGTGTACATGTTTTATGCCTCCCACGTATTATATGCCCGCTACAATTGAAATATGTTTCGATGACTTTTCAGTGAAACTCTTTTTTGCGGGTGGATCGACAAAACCAAAAAAATTTTGATATGTGCCCTCACCTCCGCATATGATCATATCTACTCGGCATATCCACTCGTCACAATAGCTTTCATTTTGTGACACCTTTAGCAGGGCTCCGTGACAAAGGATACTTTGTTATATGGTTTCAACAAAATGTGAGTGGCCCACTCATTTTGTAAAAGAGATACACGTTGCATATACGAGTGTGGGAGACCGGTCTAATGGAGCGGGGAGAATCATTACACCCCCGGATTATTCTATTATGGTTGAAAAACCAAACAGTAGTCCTGGTTACTGAGAAGAATTGAAAAGCTACGCCTGTGAAATGCAGAGTGGGAGGATTCGTGGGTGCTTGATAGGTTTTTCAAACGCAGGGGGGATAGAAAATGTTGCAGTTGCTTTTCCTGAAAGCTCAACGAAACAGATTCCTATTGTATTGAGCATATAACATGTGGGTGGTGCGAAAAGGTGCGGAGGTGTTAGCGTACTGCCACCAAAACGTTTTAATCAAGCTATTGTTATATTTTATTCCCTAATGCTCTCTAGCAACGAGAAGCTTGAACTAATCCACCGCTACTCCTACTCAATCTGTTACAAAACTCCTA